ATGAAGCATCTTCTACAGGGTGAAAGTCACGGCTCATTTTACCCGAGGTGGAGTAACTGCAAGTACAACCTAGACAGGTGACCTGCAAAAATGCGGAAAATTTGATCTCGTTTTGCAAATGTGACCAGGTTACACTCTTTGTCCACTAGCCTGATTGAACGTGCCAAAGGTGTGATGGAATTTGAGAGCAGCGATGGGCCACATATAAGGGATATTTTGGATCGTGCCTACCTACTGGAATTTATAACCACCACCTCTGAAGGCGCCCATGAAATGGATGCTCGTATACTTCAATCCCTTATTAAGCCAGGTAAGTATAAAAGAGACTGGATTTCCATTCGTCCGTTGGGTCTTCATTTCCTTGTCAGTCATTTCCTTTGTCCACGCATTTACATTCATCCTTGATCTATTCATCTATCCATCAATCTATGTGACACTTGTCCATCCACTCGCCTGAGTGCTAAACGACTCATAAGCATTTTCATGAATTTTGAAGAGCTCTTCGAGGGTATCGATGAGGAGGAGAGCTGGGATTTCAAGATCGGCATCGCTCTCTCTTTGAATCGAACGGATTTTCTGCCTGAAAATATGTTCACCCGTGTTCATTGGAAAGTGAGTCGACAAATTGCACTTCACCCACTTCACACATCCAATCAATCAGCATATGCATCCAGTAGTATTAAGTGATTAATCACACTTCACCTCGCCTTACTTTGGTAGTTAGGCCTTACTAGGGATAAATGTGCAGCTTTTGTAGGTCATGAAGCGGCACCTAACAAGATGACACTTGTCCATATGTAGGGGAAGAAGGGAATGAAAGAGGTGCTGACCAAATGCCTCGTGGGAAACAATACCAATTTCATTCGTCTTCTTGTGGATTCGGGATTTCCACTGCACGAGTACATTGACGAGTCTTTATTGGTCAAACTGTATAAGGCCGATTTCGACAGCAATGTATGTCATCATGCAAAATTATCATTTGGCTGAATTTTCACGCTAATTAACTAATTGATCAAGGTGGTGCTTTTATTCCAACTATGCAAAGATTGTTAAAATTATCAGAAATCGGTCACCTCATCAATAAAGTGGGTGTTTTGATAAACCGATTCACTGTTTGTAGGATCCAAGGGTGCAACTATTCAGAAATTACGCGTCCACTTCAATGCCAGTGAGTAGTATGCAGTTAATGGGACGTAGATTATTCCATTGCAGTGAAACTTATCATTTTCTTTTAGGTTCCACAATTGATTAACTGGAGTCAGATTGATCACTTGATTAGCGGCATTATTGGGTTCGAAATAGGCAACCAAATACGTGCCAAAAGGTCGAGATCGCCTACATCATACAGCATAGACGAAATATGGAGTGAGACAGGTAGGACGAGGAGGCTGCTTCGCTTCTAACCTGTTTATTCGTTCTGCACAGATATTCCACCCTCCACTTTATTATGGCTGAAATTGCCTCCTACATGTTTACTGCCTTAACTGTGGTAAGCATATTCCCACAGAGTCTCCATCTCTTTTGTAATTGTGAGACATGCCGGAGGAGAGCAAAAACGGTGAAGAGAGTTTGCTGCAGCTTCTCATCTGGTCGTTTCTCTCTCGACGATTCGAGTTGTCTCACCTCATCTGGACCCTCATGAAGGACTCCATTCCTGCTGCTCTAATCTTGGCCTTCGTAGCACGACGGATGCGCTCTCAACAACAGTCGCTCAGAGAGGTGAATGAGCTCGAAGAGATGGCTGAGTGGGTGTTCAAATACAGCTGTTTCGCTGTCAAAATCAAATGCCAAAGCTAGTGCATTACCTCCTTTTAGATTTTATGAGAGAAGTGCAGTGGGTATATTGGAAGAATGCCATGTCACGGATTTGCAGTCCACCCTTACGATGCTTTGCATGAAGAGACCGCTCTACGGTAACCTCTCTCAACTTTTGCTGGCAGAAGAGAGTCACTCGGTGCACTTCGTTGAACATCAGGCCTGTCAAACTTGCGTTGAAAATATGTGGAATCAAAATCTCAGTGCCAACACTCAGCCTGTTTCTGTGAGTTATTTAGTTGCTTATCTGGGCATTAGATGTGAACATGGGTCCGTACCGGAGAAATATCCTTTAAAGAGGAACCTGAGATTGATTTCACCACATTTTAGTACTTAGTGAGCCTACTGGCCGGGGTAATTCTGCCCCCTCTGGTACCTCTTTTGGCAGAATATGACTACTCCAGTTACAAACATTTTGAAAGACAGGATGACGTTCAGGTAAGACCGCGGTATGTACTCTCCACTCTATGCAAATTGTCCCCATATTTAAAAGCCACCGTTGATGGAGAGGTGTTTGTTTTAATGAATACATATTAATCGAGCCTGGTGATAGTGTCCTTTTTGTTGAACCAGGGAAATGCAATGGAGAAGAATAGCTCCAAGGCTACCTACAAACGGCGTATTGTGGATTTCTACAGAGCTCCGTGTGTTCGATTTGCCTATAGTGCTGTAAGTCTATTGCTGTAATCACTTGACGTACAATTCTTTCCAGACTGAGTCTTTCTGGGCAATGTAATTTGCAACTGACCTTTTTCTTAGTTTTGCAGTGTTTTGCTGCTGATTCTCTACTCTGCGGTTCTATTGACTGTGAGGTCTGATTCCATCATTCATCCATGGGAAATCATTCTCCATGTATCCCTCGGTCTTACAATGTTCCAACATGTCTGCAACGTGCGTGTTTTGTGTTCCCTTTTTGAGAAATCTAAAACAAGCTGTCTCAATGCATTATAAGTAGTTGCCTCCCTAGGCGATTGAAAGATCAGATATGATTAACAGCCTACGCATTCAAAAGGGACTAGGAACAAGTAAACAATTTGCCTTGAAGCCTATTTCTTCCTGTGGTTGGATCCTTTCCACATTTCAGGCAATTAAAACGCACAAATCGGTGAAACAGTACTTCGGCAACACCAGAAACCGGTTGCTTTTGCTTACCCTCTTCTTCTACGTAAGCGGAAACCTGCGCTATTTGGATTCCCGTATCAAGGGTTTTGGTGTACTCGCGGGTCTGGCGCGTCTCTCCCTCTCCTCTTGCCTCCTCTGCGCATGTGCCTTCATTCTCCACTTCTTAGTGCTCAGTCGCTACATTGGACCGAAATTGATGATGATCATAACCATGGTGAGTGAATGGAGGGCCTCGAAATTTGTGATCGCGGTCGTCAATTTGGAGTGACTTCGACAAACTACCCAAATAGTCAGCATTACAAGTCCTTTGAAAAAAACCTGCTTTGGTCAAGTGTCACCATCTTACTTAGGGTGTCACCGCCAGATGCAAAAACCCTTTTTTGGGTGAAAACGAACATTACCTGACTGTTCTCCATCAGACTGAAAGCCTTTCGAAGTCGAAGTACTAGGGTCGACTCGTAGAAATTAACTGTGGAGGAATGGGAGCCTAACAAATGCGCTATTTACTGTCGCCTAGGTGAAGTGCGATATGCTACCCTTCTTGGCCATAATCGGTGTCTTCTGGCTAACTTTCAGTCTCTTTACTGTGGCCATGATCTATAGGCCCCACGGTCCGGAGAATATGGGGCAGCATGTGCACGAAATCCTCCACCTTGCACGAAACAACTTCTTCTCCATGTTCGGCGAATTTGACATCGCTGACAATGTCGCTGACATCGGTAAGCCTTACTTGGTTGAGGAATTAGCCTTTCACTTTTGATTGCAGCCAAAGAGGAGGAAGAATGCACCCGTTTTGGTGAATGCACATATGCTGGAGCTCAGTACATCTACCCCATAATTATGATTGTCTATGTCCTATTAACTCACGTGCTACTCATTAATTTACTCATCGCTATGTTCACGTAAGTTAATTGGACCGTCTTCAATCCTCCGGTCGACTTGCATACGGTGTATTGTGCTTGGCTTTATCCTATCTGATGCAGAGAACGCTACGACAAAATGGAGTACATGTCGAAGCAGCTCTGGGCGATGCAGAAATTTGGACTGGTTAAGTCATTTGCCAATGCGCCCCCACTGCCCTTCCCCTACGTGGTTATCTGGCCCTTCATTTCAGTATTCCATCTGTGCTATCGCCTCTTTCAACACCAGCCAACCGATGATACACCCTTTTGTAGGTCCGATTTCAATTACCTACAATGATATGATTTTGACTCGCTAAATGGTTGCGGGTCATTTGCTACTCGTGATTACTCATGATTACTTATTAATTTTGCACACTAGTGTGTTGTATTTTAACCAATCAATGCAGTGCACTACATAATGATCATACATTAAACATTTGACCAAACAGGTTTCGAGGTGGACGAAACCCGACAGGGTCAAATCATAAATTGGGCCAAATTTCGCAGTCTAGACTACCACCACCGTCATTCTAATGCCTTCCAATGGCTGAAAACACAGGCCCGCCAAGGCAAGTTGCACAAGAAGATGTGGTGGTCGGGTATAGAAGGGAAAGAATACCAGGAATTGCAGATTACCACAATTGGCACCCGACTAGCCACTGAATTAATAGAGAGGCGTCTACAGGCCATTGAGATGCGTCTATCTGCTGCTGCCGCTGGTGCGCTAAATGATCAGAAGGCCACCTCGGTAAGAATAACAACCCCACTCATGAATTTCAATGGGGAGGATTTATCCAATTGCCAACTTTTGGATTCATGACTTTCTAAATGGGACTCAACGATAAGTTGAAACGAAACTGATCTTACCCTCTGTTCCGGAATTTCAGCCCAACAATGAATCGCGAGATATCGTAAGTCGTCTTCAGATTTGGTATGACCATTTCTGATGTCAACGTTCGCAGGTTTCACAAATTGTTAACCTGAGAAAAGCGCATTTATTTGTTGAAATAAGCAAGTTAATGGCTTCTTAGGGGCCTTTTTACATTTGAAAGCTATTTTGAATCTAGGGTCCGAGTATTGCAGTTCTTGAAGAGGATGGAAAAATCGTTAGTCGATCACAAAGCAAATGGTTCGGTAAGTCACTTCACCTAACTTTCGGCCAAAATACGGCCACTAACACACGTTTTGCGCAAATAAATCTACCAATGAAATCAACGATGGATAAGATTGTTTGTACCGTAAAGGAACGGATCACATCTGTTCATAAGGGAAGACTTTTCGTTATTGGTACGTACACGGCAAATGGTGGGTAAAAGTGAAAGACCAGATTTGACTCTAATCTGAGGATTAATGCGGAGATGAAATTGTCTATCACAGACTCCATCCACATGTCCAAATTCACTGATCCCGAGGTGGAGATCAAAGAAGTCTGCAATTTCACCTACGATCGTCACACCGTGGCCTACTTTAGCAACCCTCAGGATGACATCATGCCTCGCTCTCTCACACGTTTCGTTCCATGGACGGTAATTCCTCACGGTATTTTCTTAATGCAGTTTAAAGCGTCTGAGCTAAGGGTAATGCTTGTTTACCTAGTTATAGTATCACATCCAAGCAGTTAGTAGGTGGTCTTTGAAACACGTTGGGACTAGATACTGATCGAGGTATCCTACAGCCATTGAGCTTCATTTGTCTGCCTACCTCAGGAAGAGCTTCTCAATTACGAGCCAAAGGTGCTGGACTGCGTGGAACGAATTCTGCCGGATTGGAGTGAGGAAGAGATGAAGGAGAGAATGTCTAAGCCAAAAGCTTCAGACACTGTGCTGCGCAATCCAACAGGAAGGACGGGCATAGCGGGTAGGGGTATTCTACCCGTTTTTGGTGCAAACCCTGCGGTCGTAGTGGTGCTAATCTCGGAGGAAAAACTGTACAACCATGGATCGGAGGTGAAGGAGGAGGTGCTCAGAAGAGTCCTTTTGAGAGGTTGTCCTCGACGAAAATATCAGCTCCCCTGGGTACGGCAGATCTCATTTAGTAGTGATTGGTTTACTTCAAATTAGGCAATGCAGATAAAGTTTACCTGAGATTTCTCATTCTGTCCCATTGTGACAGTTTCTGTGCAAGCATACGGCAGAGTGCAACCAACTGGAGTGCATGCAGAGCCTAATGATCGCCTACATGCACGCGATGGCGAAAGAAGCCTCCAAATTCAATTCAAATCAATCCCTTACCTACCGACTTATTATTGAAGAACTCGATAAATGCCCGGTTCGTTTGGTAAGTGTAACGACCCACTGACACAGAATCTGTGGAACAGTCGTGATTCTGGAACTGTTTGCATTTAGTGTCACATGGGAGAGCTGGAGGACTGGATAAATAGCGACAACGCGTGGATCGATGTCACAGCCATCAATGTTCGCATTCCATCAACTTTCCAATTCTGGGAACTCATTCCACAGGTTAGTTATATTCCACAAACGCCACCCCTATTGGGCAGTTTGATCACCTGAAATTCAAACTAACATATTACTTACTCAGGTAGCACTTAATAATAAAGCAAGTGGCGGCAAGCTAGTCCACCAATCAAGTGGCGGTAAATAATGATCAATCAAAAAGCGCCAACAGCACCTGACTGTGAAACCAGATTGATCACTTTATAATCAGGAGTAAATGAAGACCATTTTCTCAAAAATTTACTTTTTTAGATATTTTCAACACCGGCTTCGAAGGCAAGGTGGGAGGAGATGAGCAAACTGCCGTTAATCAAGAACAGCCACTTCAGCTGTCTGGCTTATTTCCAAGAAGCCTTCATTCGGCATCAAGCACAGAGGTAGAGGGAGAAATGTCCCGGATTCTCCAATTTCACACATGCACGGCAGCGCTGCTTTATCTGTCCTTAATCAGTTAACTTGATTTGT